ACCGTGGGAGCGGGGAGAGCGGCAACAGTGTCCCTGTAGGTCGGGGCACTATTGTGTTCCTCTGCTCCATTTTCCGCACTGGTCCTCCCACGGTGGGTGTTGGCTACCGCGACGTCGTCAGCTGGAACACTGGCTTCCTGTGTTCCTGTTGGGGTGCTGGCGATGACGTGAACGGTGTCAGACATGACCACTTGTTGGCAAGGAGGAGTGGCATCCGAAGGTGGAGTTCGTTGGTAGGGATTGGACCGATCCTTTGGTGGCGTCAGTTCCGTTTTTGCATCAGGACAGAGGGAGACGGGCGCGAATCGTGTGCCTTGGCACCTTTTGGACACTTTCGACTTGCGAGCAACGTTCCTCTATTGAACACCTCCACGTTGTTCAAACTTTGTTGACCAAAAGCAACCTAGTTCCTGGCCTCTACAACCGTATTACACCGGCAGTTGGATACTCTAGAAGTAGCATAGATACCAATTAATGATTCAGTTATATATGGATTCTCTGGAGTCGATGCAGGGTGCTTCTTAGACTTGGACTGAGCTTTGGCTATTTTTGACTCTCGTTCTAGTCGCTTGAATTCCTCCACAATGGGAGGAATGATCGCAGGGCCAGTCCAAGGATGAGCAAAGAATTCGGCTGCCGCTAGCCACATCCACGTCAACGGCTCGGCGCGTTGAACAATTAATGTCGGGTCGAACACGAGCGAAAATTCCCAAAGGCGAGGCAACTTTTCGTCCGTAGTGATAACTCGTTGGGCCGTTGCAAGATCGAACACAACCGTGGGGCACTGTGTCGCGAGACGAAGAAAGTACTCGCAAAGAGCCCAGAAACCTTTGTCGTCGTCGGCATCTTCAAGATCTCCAAGGGAGAACAGATTCTGCATGCTGGACCGAAGCTGTGGCATCGAATCGCCGAGTGATGGGTCGTACGCCTTCAGGCCAGTCAGGATGAACGCAGCGATGTCGTCGTAGGTTTGGGCGTTGGAAGATGGATCCATGTTGACATCGGCCCACCAGCCAGGGCATTTGGAGATTGCCCAACCAGAGTATTCTGCCGTGCGGGAAGACCAAGTAATAAATGCCTGGTTTCCGAAAACCTCTTTACTCTGTGGAACTTGGACACCTTGAGGTTCTTGTTGTAGGCAACGAGCGGCCGTCCTTACACTGCGCCATCCTCGGCGGTTTTGGAAGGGGGGGTTGCTTGCGTTGACTCTTGGTAGTCGTGGGATCAGGATTATCCTTGGTGAGATCGATCGACGAAGGACTGGTGTTCGATTGAGCTTTGGCCGTGAGGCCAACCTGACCTTGGGCAACTTCAGATGGGAGGAGCGAGCGACCTGTCATTGCGCCATCCTCGGCGGTTTTTGAAGGGTTTCGCTTGCTGATGCGCTTGGAAGTCGTGATGGCAGGATTTTCCTTTGTCAGAGCAATCGACGATTGAGTGGTCAAATTTGATCGGGTTTTTTCCTCGAGACCTCCCTGACCTTGGTCAGCTACAGTCATGATCGAATTCGGGTCCTTCTCCGGCAGGTTGATGATGCTATCCTTCATAATGGCTTAAATTTAGTTCCTGTTTCAACAACAACAACTGTTTTCCTTTACGTACAAAACGCGTAGGACTGAGCGGGTGATATACAACGAAGACTGACTCGTTCGAAATTTTCGGGACCCTGAAGGGGGACTCAAAATTCCGCGATTTTGACTCATCTCCCGGGTTACAGACGGACAATTGAAACGTTTATAATCGGTATACGGGACAATACCGGTTCCAGAAAGTTTTTTATAACATGCTTTTTCTACACGCGCGCCGTAGGCAATGTACATGAAAATCGTTGAACCCCACGGGCGCATGGTACTTTGATTTCTGCTTTGGTCTTGGAAGATTGATTCCCGAAAAGGCCTTCCTTGGGAGTACAATTTGTGACAATTGGGAAAATAATTTGATTATGTAACTATTATGATGCTTTTGGTCAGAAGCGTCTGGCAGGCGTGATGAAGAACCATGTTGAAAAAGTGTTGCCACATGAGCTCATAAATATTTGGAATGACTCCAGAAGTATACAATTCTGGTACGCAAAATAAACGCATGTTGCAGTAGAAAATGAGAGAAAGGAAGCAGTTGAAATTGTGGCAGTGTTCGTGTTTTCTGTGAATTTGGTGGCTTCCTTTCTGAGAATTGTTGCAGAATTGTTGTGGGAAAGAGCAGGAACAAGGCTTGTCAAGATGGTTCTGCCAGGAACGAGGATGCAAAAGGAGTAAAAAGCAAGAAAGTGATAAGAACACAAGGAATTCTGACACGAAGAATTCTGAGAAATTGTCACCGGAAGATGCAATGCAACAAAAAATTGCCATCAACATCATCAGTGCTGTCGCAGAAGAGTGTGAGCTTACTGCCAAGGAATATCAAGAAAAATTTGACGAAGTTACTCAGCAATGGGAACCTAAGTTTGCAGCAATTGCCATCTTTATCAGCTGGGCCAAACATAGTAGTCGCCACTTCAACAACAATACTATATCTCTTGTTCAAACTATCGCGGATCAATGTGGAATTAGTACACTCAATCTCATGGAAGAAGCAAAATCATATCGTATGGTTTGGGCTGAAGGCGGCAATAGCTACCAAATGCAATTTGCCAAAACAAAAGGTCAAGACGAAAGTGAGGTTTGGGCAGTAGCTCCTGTTATTGATAAAGTTATATTTGGCATACAACTTACGGGAAGTCTTTTTGAGAGGGAGATCGAAGAATCTGGAAGCACAATGTTGGCAGCAGTGGGTCGAAAGAGGAAGAGTCGTAGAGACAAGGATGAAAAACAATTTACATTTTTTGAGGATCAAGATGGCATTGAAGATGGTACAAGCTATACTTCTGCTCCACGGTTTGCGGTTCATATGTTGAAGTCCTTCCACAACCGGGTTTGGCTGGAAATAGAGCATCGCTTTTTGGCTTACCACATCATCAAGGTGTTGTTTGGCCTTGTGGTTCCAATAAACGAAGTTAAAAGAACAAAGAACGAAATCTAACGGATTTGACACTATCCAGAAAGGGCAAGATGAATGGTGGAAAGTTTTGCAAAGAAACCTCCACTGCCACTATCTCTGCATCAAATCTGGAGAGCATGTGCAAGTGAAGAAAAGGTTCATGGAACTGTGCAACAAGTCTGACAGGTCTGATGATGACACTGTTCGACAAAAAAAGAATAAACCAAAGCAAAAACGAAAGTCGAGGAGAACATTGCCTAAAAAAGGATTGGGAAAGTCAAGCATAGAGACAGGTCAGCCAGTAGAGCAGTCTTACAGCAAGACGCTCAATAGGAACAAGGGCATTCATGATTTGCCCGACAGTGTTAGTTTCAGTGAAATGCTCAAGATTGCAAATCAATCATGCAGAGCTGACGGCAATGTTTCTCTTGGATTTGACCACAATGGTGAGGCCAGAAGTGGTCCAAATATATGCGACAATGGTTCTACTTGTTCCTTGGACAATTTTAAAGGAAAAGAAGATGTCTCTTGTTTTTCGAATCGGATCAGGCTTGCACCAGAAGCAGAAGTAGAAGCAAAGGTTGATTCTTTGCTTGCAATTGAAATTGAGGACATGCAATTTTTACTTGCTTTATCTAACTTCAAGATCTATTGTGCAAATCTTTTAAGATCATTGCAGAATTGTACAAGCAGTTCAAGATAAGTGTACCATACAGGCTCCATCAAGAGAGGACATGTCACTCATAATTGGTTCTAGGAAAGCCAAACATATTGATCCTTTCTCCAAAATTCTACATGTTGTTCGAGAGAAGTCAATCTTGCTTCAAGCCTCAGGTCTTCTTGATAAGGTGCGGATTCAATACGCTGAGATTGTGTAAGCTTTGATCAATGATGGTAAAGCAGACTGTGCTAGATCAAGCAACGCAAGGAGAGTTGATCTCAGTGCGGCGTCGCCTTTAAATCAACCAAGTGGAAAGCCTTTGCCTTCTGGTCTAAATGATTTCCTCAAGGATCAACCTCATCGTGATGAAATTTTGAAAATGATTGGTGGTTGGGCATGTCTGATCTGGGATGTGGTTAATATGATGCAAGAGAAAGCTTCTTGTCTGCCTGGCCTTGGAAATCGGTCAGAATTGTCTGATATATTACAAAAATACCTTCATACATGTTAGAATAAAGCAAAATGTGCTCTATCGTGAGTGCCTTTAGCGCTCAGAACAAACTCTCTGCAATCTAAATTTGTAATCGACTGTACAACACTTTCACGACAATAGTTCTCCTGTGTCTAGGT